CTTTATAAAATGTACTTATTCATTGATTCATCTGCTTTTTTTTCTCATTTCTATTAGAAGGGTAAAACAGTTCTTTAAGCTTATATATTCTCAAAATCAAAAATAATAAATTATTTTTTTAATCAATGTGCAAAAAGCCTAAAACGACAAATATTGTAAAACAGAAAGAGTGATAAATATTTATTCAATCAAAATATGATTGGTGTTTAATTTTTTGTGTTTGTAGAAATAAAATGCAACCCAAATTCTTCAGTAAAATTTGTTAACATACATACATACATACCCTTTTGAATAACCAATTATGTTTTTAAGTAATCGGCTATTTGCCTTTGGCTTCATTGTTTTCAACTTCATCAGCATTCTCTTAACCATCACGAATAACCAGGTTTTTTTTTTTTATTATTATTACCACAAATAACCAGTAATTTAGTACATCTTCATCGATTTCACAGCATGGATGGTTGTTGCACGAATTCATCACAAGAATCTAACCGTCATGAATTCATATTCACCAAACATTCTTTGTTTTCGGTACCAAAGGGGCAGTGATATTCCCAATGAGTCATGCAAGTGGGTACCAGGCAAGCTGAAATGCCCTCTAACTCTCTAGTGGGTAATCAAAAACATGCAATCCTCTCTGTCCAAATGGTAGAGGTGAGAGGTGAGAGGGTAGGTAATCAGCGGTTGTATTTGCTTTCCTATGTATACTGTGTTATTACCCTGCATTCCCCAACATCTCTCACTACAAGAATTCACTGTATCACCGACGAGCAGCCATGTCGGAAACAAGAGGGAATCTAGTCGGTGAAGTCCTATACCCACTTGAATCATGTTGGTGTTGGGTTGCTCGGTGAAGCCGGGCTCGGTGATTCAAACACCGACGTAGATGGAAATCACGTCGGTAAACGTACCCATAATTACCGACAAAGAACATCTTGGAAAGAGGGAGCCGGAACACTTCACCGGAAAACATCTCTGGTTCCACGTTGGTAAATCACCGACAAGCATAACGTCTGCATGTACACAGCAGCCTCATGCCCAGCGCCTAACACTGACAAACATAACGTTTGACAATCCAGGAAAACTGCTTCACAGTTTGAGCCATGTTAGTGAATCACCGACAAAAACCACGTCTGAACTACACAAAAATCTTCCCTCCTGGTTTAAATGATCTCCAAAATTTTAGGCGCCATTTTTTTATTTTTGTTTTCCTAATTACCGACGAGAATCACGTTGGTAATTGAATATGAAAAAATAAAAAAAATATCTCGAATTCAGCTCATATTAAAATTAATTTATATTTATTGTTTAATTAAATTAATTTCCAATTAAACATTAAGTAATTCGTAATATTTAATATTATAAAAAATAAATGAAAATTTTATAATGTAATCAAAAAATTATTTATTTATT